CAGGTGAAACTATCCCCCGCCGGACACCATCCCGGTATTTCTGAGTCAAGGTTTCGGGGCCTGAATTTTTTATGTTACTATGTAGGCCTAACAATCAGGTATTAAAATAGGACTTTTAATGATGATAGGCTCTAGGTTAGGCCTAAAGTGTAGGCTAGCCAGCCTTTGTTGAAAGGGTACTTCATGAAAAGGGGGGTTCGTTCGAACCCAACGAACCCCCCTGGCTACGGGCTTGGGGCCATCTGTAAGCCTTCAATAGGAATTCCGTGGTAAACCCATGTTGAAATTTTAAAAATATGCTTTATTAGACCAAAGTGTTAAGAATGGCAACGGAAATAAGTTTAGTTAGAGAACCATAATCAATATTTTTTCGTATTGATTTATTAATTGACGGCAGGGGGGTCAATGTTCGTCCGACCGGGACTCCCTATAGACTCCACCCCTCCCCGTGGGTGCCTACATTAAGTATATGCATGCTATCTGTGTTGAACGAATGAACATGAAGATTAAAGTTCAATTTGTGGTTGTTTATTTTGTATATCTAAGTAAGTTATTGGAAATTAGAATGAAACTAATAATACCGTTTCAGTATTCTTTTCATTTATAGACCTTTTTGCTGGGATTTTCAAGTAAATGACCTGTAAATTAACGAAAACAGTCGTATGTATTTAAATGAGTTTCAATATTATAACTTTTAGGGGTTTTCCAATTTTATAATCGACACTACATTCTATTCATTTTTGTTTTTCTATAGGCTCGAATGCGTTGAATGCTTCCGATGCACTAAGTAGTACAATTGCTAGTGTTGTTGATGCAGTGTACGTGATTGCTAATGCACTGGACTCACTGGTACGAGACAAGTGTCCTGAAGAGGGAAATATCTGCAGCGATATAGCGTCAGTATCAATAGACGAGTGGCTATCGTATGTCGATGGAACTGCATTTGAAAGCTCAAGAGGGTCGGGAGTCTCGATTGACTTTGATGACAACAGGGAAGTAGTGGCAGTGTATGACGTGAAAAAATACCAGGGACTTAATTCAGATTTTGGTTACCAAACTGTAAGTTATCCCAGGTCACATATTTAAATAATGATAATGATGATGATGAGGATAATAATGACTCTTTGAGGAGAGGGAGAATAATGATAATGAATATGCTCATCTCTTATATCGTCAGTATTTGCTGTAATTACTCCGGTATGTTTTTTTTATTAGATTGGTTCGTGGGAAGAAGGCACTGGGTTGGTTGGATTAGATGTTACAGAATTTAAAAAGGTAGCATCAGAATGCCTTGACGAAATGTTACCCTGCTCTGGACAAACCCCACAACTGTCGATAATAGAAGGAGACATAACACTAATTGCTTTATTCTCCGCACATATGCCCGGGGATTCTGCTCTGAGGTGTGGAGCCCTGAGTCTAGAGCAAGTTGTTGCCGTCGAGGCGTTGAACTATGCACTTGAGGAAGTAAATAAAGACAGCAACATTTTACCGGAATTGACGCTTGGTGCAACTATTGCTGATTATTGTGGAAGCTCTTTACTGGCATTGGATCAATTTGTGAACGTCGTCAGTAATGCTACTCGATACGGTCAAGACTTTGCTTTGGTTGGACCAGTAGATACTGAAATAGCCTCTACAGTAGTTCTAGATGCCATAACTCCACTAGGTTTCACGATTGTAAGTGTATTGTAACAGTAGTTTATGTCAAAAGTTTATACTGAGTTAGTCAATCGTTATTCTCTGTTAATACAACCCTTTGAAGACAATCAATATTGAATACCATGTTTTAAAAATCCATTAGGATGTGCAATGTACTGAGTTTAAGTAGCGATGACTTGAATAAAAGCGAACGTAGAATAACTGGCCTTGCAAATTTTTGGAGTGACATTCATTATGTTTTCAAAACACTGGCGATTTGCAAATTGATCAATACTAATCAATTAGCAGTAATTATGTAAGTTATGTCCCCTCAAACTATATTGAATAAAAAGTAAAATATATGTGTTTATTCCTCCTACAGGTCAGCCCATCTGTTCTTGAAGGTGGTAGTGCATCATTGGCTCCATATCATGTTCTTACCAAACCATCACCACAACAAGTTGTTTCAACTTATATCGAGCTCGTTCATTATTTCGGTTGGACGTACATAGCAATCCTGTTTACAGACTCCGCTTCCTATCGCTACCAGCAGGAATTGTTCATTAAGGAATTACAATCGATGGACGTTTGTGTGGCAGTGACTAGCGTCATGCCTGTAGGCGGCGACAGATTGAAAATGGATGGACTTTTATCTCAGATTTCGACTACAGCTGGAGTAGGTGTTGCGTTTGCTTTCTTATCTGACGATCATTTTTCTCTGCTACTGGAAAGCAAAACTGAATTTGGATCCAATGTAGTCAATATAATGTGGGTTGGATCGTTTCCAAGCACACAGGATCTTGCGACTTTCGAAAATTCGAATATAGCTACTTTGTCTACCAGACAATATGAGTATGATCTTGCTGAATTTCAGACGTATCTGACGAACCTGAGCCCTGCCGAAGATCAAAGTACTCTAAATCCTTGGTTTCGAGAATATTTTGAGACAGTAGCTAATTGTACGATACAAAATGATTACAAGTCTTCCGTTCCTATATGTGAAGCAGGTTTGACATTAGGAGGCGTTGACGAATCACGCTTGCACATATCAAATCTTGTTGCAGATATAATCAAATCAGTGTATGCCATAGCACAGGCAGCACACGATAGATTATCTTCCCTCTGTGTGAAGAATTCTGACAAAATATGCCGTCAATTCACAGAACATGATCCAATTGGAATATACAATGCGATTGCAAATGTTGAAATCCACCCATCTATGAGTGATGAACCTATTCAGTTTAAAAATGGAATAGTTAATGAAAAGATTATTATTGTTAATCAAATAGGTGGCCAGGATGCAAAAGAAGTACAGGTAATATGCCAATATATTTTGCTTATTAATGAAACTATACATTGAAAAGTAATGACAAAAATAGGTTTATTTGAGAATTAGAAACAGGGGTAAATAATGTTTAGGAGACGTCAAGACGTCATTCTTGAAAATAATTTCTTTGTTAAAATGCTATATTCTTATGATGTACTAATTCAATCTCTGTATGTAATTTCTTGTGCTGCCAGGTTGGAAACTTTTTTTCTGGAACATTGACTTTAGATGGCACTAACATCAAGTCCTACGACGTCAATGGGAATATACAACAGGGTGTGAGATCGTCCAAATGCCCAATTGATAGCTGCACATGCAACACGTCACCAGACACCAAAGCAAACGAACCCAGTGGAAGTGAGACGCTGGAATGGAATGTTGAGGGATACTGGGTAACGATAGTCCTTACCACTTCAGGGACGTGCTCCGTGCTGATGTTGTTACTTGCGAGCTATTTTATTTACCACAGAAAACACAAAGTGGTTGTAGACGCCTCTCTTAGTCTCAGTCTTTTGTTAATTATTGGATTGGTACTTATGTACGCCATGAACTTAGCATTCATGGTCACGCCTACAGTGATTATATGTGGTGTCCGGCGAGTGGGCGTCAGTCTTGTTTATGGCATCGTCTTTTCTGCTCTGTCGGTAAAAATAATCAGGATTAATAGACTCCGTCGTCGACTAGTTCCCGAGGAACCCATAGGATTCACCGGGGGATCGTCACAGACATTTTTCTTCTTCGTGTTCTTAATGGCAGATATTGTTTTGGTTGTCGAATGGTTGATCCTCGAGAACCCTTCAACTATTTTAAATCCAAGTAATCAAATACAATGCTCTTTTGATAAAGTTGACTTAGTTGTGTCTTTAACTTACGCATATAATTTGATCGTATTTGCATTGATAGTGTCTTCCACAGCTTTGAATTCGTCAAGTATTAATTGTGAAGGGAGATATATTTTCCTTGCTTGTCTGTCCACCATCTGCTGCGTTATCACGTGGACGTGTGTGTACGTATTTGCAAATGACACGGAACTATACGAGATACCGAGTGTTTGTGTTGGACTGACAGTAAATGCAACACTTATACTTGTGGCAATTTTGTTCCCAAAACTTTATGCCCTATCTGATGCGTTATACTTAGAAAAATCACCAAAGAACCCTCCAAGAAATGCTAAGATGGGCCAGGCATATGCAAACACAGGTAGGCCTAAGCATAATTCTATTTCAGTATATTTTATTTCCAGCTTCCCATCATTAATGTTCCTCTTAAAACCTCTACTTTAATTAATATATTTTGATTATATTTATTTTAACCTTTTAGCCTAAACTCAATTTTATTTTTTATGAAACGATTAAATTACTATCATGGTTTAGAGAACATCTTCAATGCAAATCACACAGAATGTTAAAATAATATCAAAATATTCTCTTCCAGCACTTCATACGAACGAAGAAGAAGCACTTACAACTCTTTAAGTGATATATCGCATATCAACTTGATTGGAATTATTACTGTAAATTAATATTGCTTCCCTCACTTTTGGTCACTTTTGGACTTAAATGTCCAGACAGCATGCTGGTCGATATTCCATATTGAATTATAAAAATCGTCGATCATGATTTCCGCTTGAGGAAAAAAAAATAGATATGAATACATGTAATATGGGTTTCATACTATAACAATAATTGCGAAAGGCAGTATCAAAAGGATGTTTACAGATTGACCATTTTTGACTAGATACACTTCAGTGAGCGGTAAAAGTTTGTTTCAGAACAGAGATGGTGTATGACGACGACCGTACGAAGCAATGGACGTGTTCCTGACTTTAAGGATATAGTAAAAACTTTATAAATATTAAGTGAATATTAAAATTTAATGTCTTTTTGGATATATTTTATCCTTTAAAGAGAGCAAATCATGCCAGTCATGTCATGCCAAGTACAGTAAATCTCGAAATGAAGCACTGGGCTGCTTTTTTTTGTGAACTTTGGATGAGCTTCTTTTCGAGATGGGATTCTTTTCGAGGCTACTTTAAGTAACCTCGTTCTTTTCTAAGTTTTAGAAATTTGTACTATAAAACAATAAATAAGGCCACTGTAACATCAATCTGCAGGGGCGGATCCAGCCCGGTAAGAAAGAGGGGGCGTGAATAGAAAACTGAGTGAAAGTCTCAGGAGAGAGCTCTGGTAGGGTGCAAGGGGAAAATCCCCCTTAGACCTCTAGCACCACAATTAATTTATGTTTGAATTTGATTGATTTTTAATATTTAGCATGGCAATTTTCTGATAAGCTTTACAAATTACTTTTTACAAAAAAATAAGGGTGGCGTACGCCCCTTACGCTCCCTCTAAATCCGCCACTGAATCTGTATCATGGAGTGTATTAACTGGCATTACATCACCTAAACTATTGTATAAACCAAGCCTGTTTTTAATTTATTTTTTTATTATTTTTTAAAAATTCATTTAGAGAATGTATTTCGAACAGAAGCCTATGCTATCGTGAAAAGAAGCCGATGGGATGGGCTTCTTTTCGAGGATAATTTTGCAAACTAAGAAGGGAGCTTCAATTCGGGTTGGGCTTCTCGATATTAAGCCCACTGGGCTTCAATTCGAGGTTCTTCGGTTCTATAAAGGACGGGTTTGAAATTTTTGTCCCGATTCTAAATTCTACAAGAGAGTGTATATTTGGTTTATATTCGGAAAGTGTCCTGTAAAATAATAATAAACAACACTAATGATTTGTTTTACTTGCTGTAAACACCAGCAATAATATATTTTAGAGATTGAATGTATTTGAAGTGTTGACTAGGTAAAATGGGATAATATTGGGGGAAATGCTCTACTGTCATAATAGGCAGTTCAATAGGCTTATTTTAATTAAATTAGGCCTACCTGTTAATATTTTGTGTTTTCATATTGTTATTATTTATAAATCTGCATAAAATTCTATATAAAGTTAGCTTTGTGAAGTCATTACTCGGAGTGTACATTTTTAGCATTTTGTCAACACGACATCCTGACATCCAATTCGACGGTGCATTCAGGACACGGTAAAACAAAAATGTTACAATACTGTATTTTAAAGTGGCCTCCAACTTCCATTCAACAAAATATACTATAAATAATTCGTGTAACAATAGGCCTATGTAGTTTACATAGTAAAATACTACGGTATATAAAATAATAATTTAAAAAAAAAACCCATTGTTTTAATTGGTTTTTTTTTAAAGATTTAATATAATTTTAGGCCTTTAGCAATTATAGTAATAATGTTAATTAATCCTTAGACACCATCCAGTCAAACTTGCAAATTTCTTGCAAAAATCGTCTTGTCTTATCGAAGATTTGCCGGAAAATACATTGTCAATATAATAATCATAGCGAGCGTGCATATTCGTGTGTCGGTCTGTTGTTCTGTCTGTCTGTGGTGTGTGTGTGTGTGTTTGTTCTTCAGGGCGCATAACTCAAAAACTACTCACAGAGCCAACTCGAGCGGATTGTTTGGCTAGTCCAGTCTGACGCTAGCGGATTGACCGCGGACCGACTCGAGTGGATTTACCATGTATCAAATACTGCCCGGCGGACTGGAAGTAGTCCGGATGGCGTGCAAGCCCGACTGATGGGTTTACCACCTGAGGCCTACGATGCTAGGCCCCGTTTCCAGGTTGATTGGAAAAGTAAGATGCAGATTTTAAAATGCTTTATATAGGCCTATTTTCCGGCCACATATGTCAAACCTGATGTCCCAATTTTATACAAAAAAAAAAATAAAAATTATGAATATAATGAAATATGAGAAAGTATTCTATAAATGCACAAATAACAAAAAGTTAAGAATAATAATAATAATAATAATAATAATAATAATAATAATAATAATAATAATAATAATAATAATAATAATAATAATAATAATAATAATAAATATTTTTTTTACAAAACAAGAGGGAGGTTCGAACACCATACATTGATTAACTTTACACATAATACGTCCACCTTTATCGCTCGGCTACACCTCACCCGATAAATAAGTATGTATGTATTTCGCCACCATAACACAACAACAACCAGTGAATCAACTATAGGTTTGAAGCAACAGGGCGAGGGTTTGTATTCTCATATTATCTTGTTAGTCATGCCATTAATCAACAGAAAAGCAAATCGGTGATTTGTGAATGCATTAGTTTCAATTTTTCTAATCATACAACTAACATTATTGATCCATCAAGATTTAAGGCCATATTATCATCACCATCCACAAACATCTAATCACTTTTTGCCAACTTCGGTTTCAACCTGTAAAATGGGAAGCCATTGAAAACAAATAGGCCTATATGACATTGATGAATGGGTACATACCTATTATAATCATACTACAACATTTATTTGTTCTGATAAGAGATAATCCGAAAAAACGTAATTCTTTCTCTTTGTAATAAACAGATTTTAATTCAAAAGGCCGGCGTTGTTTGCATGTTAGACCTGCAGTGAATACCAACACGGAATTGGAACATTACACAAGGCCTATCTGCAGAACCAATATTTTGATACTGACCTATGCTAGACCAATTTCAAACAACAAATAATAATTAAAAAAAAACAAACATTCCAGACACTACGACTTTGTCAACGGTCAGGGATTTCGCAAATACGTTTTTGTATGACTCATTGGAGATTATGCTTTGGCCTATGTAACTTCATCGTTAGTCAACATAAACAATATGTATAATTCTGAGTGTAAACATATAATATGTTTTCGCCAAATAATTATTCATGTTAAAGCAATTATAATTTTCTCTTATTGTATTAGTAAGCCAAGATTGAAGATGATATTGTGGTATAATGAAAACAGAAATGACAGAAAGCTGTCGAGTGATCATACATGACTTTATCAGTATGGTTTTAAAAAACACACTTTACATTGAACACTTCACATTGGTGTAAACAGCAGAACCCTCACACTGATCCACAGAAAGATGACAAAAATTGAATCAACGACACTGAACTTATATTTTCCCACGCTGAACATAAACAGCCAAACTGGCTTCAGTCTTGGTGTGCTTGGTTGATAATCAGACATCGTAATTGTATTGTAATAACGATAACATTTATTTTTCTTTATTTTTATTTTATTGTTTATTTTTTATTTTATTTATTATTTTATTTTTTTGTCCTGGAGAATCAATGTTCATCGAAATCAAGTACAACAGCAGATTTTTAGTTCTTTTTGTAGAAATATAAAAATACATAGATTCCATTTAATTCACTTTATATCGACACAATATTACGGTATTTAACCTTTCGAACATTTTTGAAAATGTCGTGTCTGATTAAAACTAGATGTGTATAAGAGATTGCATCTTTACATCTCCGATCTTGTTCACAAATTCACGGACTTGTGCTGTCTCGTAAGAATTTTGTAAGACGCGTTAAGAATGACAAAATATTCTCTGTATCTACTGGAACCGAGCAGCATAGCTTGTATTCTATGGGGTGTCATACGCAGCAAAAGTCCATGTTAAAATCAAAATGTAATTGCAAAATTCAATGTCTAATTTATCAAAACGTAAGCGTAAATTTCTCAAAATGTAGATCTAGTTTCCCAAAATGAAGTTCTAATTTTTCAAAACGTAGTTCAAATTTTTCAAAATGTAGTTCTAATTTCTTTTAAATGTAATTCAAATTCAAAACGTAGGTCTGACATGATCAAATGCCCTCTCCAAATTCTATTCCAAAACGTAAATAAAAAACCAGGCTGGTTTGAAATGCATTTGACAATGAAAAATAAATGCGATCGTTAATATTGACCTTGGTACAATGTAAACCTGTAATCATATGACTGCTTATACAGAATTTTACTATATTATAGGCCTAGACTAGGACCAGGCCTCCTACTTAGTAAAGAGGCTTAGTCCAAGACCTTGTTGCAAATCCCAGCCCACATGAGCCTAGCCTATAATGCCTAGCATAGGGCTTGTTTTCGCGGTACCCTTGACCATTAAAAATTAGCAGACCCACTGAAAAGCGTTCACGGCATTGGACTGCAGCGAAAAATGATTCCCCCATCATTAATGGAACATGCCCACGTCACGCTTGGCTGACTAGTTTTGATTTACATTTCGCATGTCTTGTGTTGTTGTAAAATGTATTTCAAAACAGTCATGCTTGGCTGGTTTGACATGGACTTTTGCTGCTTATGGCACAGACACACAAATGTAAATCAAAACTAGCCAGCCAAGCATGACGTGGGCCTGTTCCATTAATGATGGGGGAATCATTTTTCGCTGCAGTCCAATGCCGTGAACAACGCTTCCCAGTGCGTCTGCTAATTTTTAATGGTCAGGGTACTGCAACCACAAGTTCAGTCCCGTAGGCAAGGGGGGCCAGTGTATCTAACCGTTGATTTTTAATAATGTGGCATGAAATTTGTTAGAAATTGATCGTCTCCGGTGATTGCAGATTTATCTACATAATATGAAGAATGTTATCTATAGGCATGCAGATGTACAGGACAAAATAACATTACTTTTTCAGGGAGAAGAGCCTCCTAAAATTATAAAAGAAAATGGAGAAAAAAAGAAAAATCATAATTGTCTGAGAGTGCCATTTCCGGCCATTTTGAGGTGCCATAATCATAAATTTTCTCACCTCAGCTTCAATCATGGGGCTGAGGTGGTATTGACCATCTGTCTCAAGTTCCTCCCTTCACCCCCACCCTCTATTTCTTCTGCTTTTACTGTAGGTCCCTAGACAATACTTAAATGAATGAAAATTTAAATAGGATATTACAAATTATGGATTTTAGAAATCCATTAAAAAAGGCCCTCAAAATGATAATTTGTCAGAGCTTCCATAAGATTCGCCCCACCCTCGCGGGGACCCCTAGACAGTCGCCCATCGTAAGGTCCACTTCGGTTGCAAAACGCACCTCCCCATCGAAAATCCTGCCTACGGGCCTGCCTATGCTAGGCATTATAGGCTAGGCTTCATGTGGGCTGGGATTTGCAACAAGGTCTTGGACTAGGCCTCTGTACTATAGTAGGAGGCCTGGTCCTAGTCTAGGCCTATAATATAGTAAAATTCTGTATAAGTAGTCATTATGATTACAGGTTTACATTGTACCAAGGTCAATATTAACGATCGCATTTATTTTTCATTGAAAATTTAAAAAAAAAAAACTTAAAAAAAAAGTTAACTTAAGGATTTTAAAATATTCAAAAAAACTGTACATTTCAATAAAAAACAACGCGATAGGATATGAAGTTTGCGAGAATAATTGGTATACTTGTACTGTATTTTCTGAAGCGCCGTTCGTTGTTACATCAGTGGCGTCTCGGGCGCTGACGGAGGGGAGGGGAACGCCAGGGCCCCAAGTGCGAGGGCCTCCCCCTCCCCCACCCCGACATTGTTTAAACAAAATATAATATAAACTATAATACCGTAGATTCATTCAATGGGGCCCGACAGTTTTAAACAATAAAAGCTGGGTTCTGATGTTTGAGATCATGCTTCTGATTCTGTGATCAATCTGTTTTGCAGATTAATCACACAGTTAATTTTTCAATCTCCAGCAAATTTTAAATAGCATCCAAAATCCTCCTTTTTGGAATGTAAGGAAATAGATAGTGCTTTTCCTTTGTTTGATCGATTGTAACTCCTGATTGTAGCAACCCTAAAACGAATGGCACTTCAGAAATACAGTACAGTATACCAATTATTCTCTCAAACTTTATATCCTATCGTGTTGTTTGTGTTTTAAGTTAACTTTATTTATTTATT